GTGAGGGAGACTCTCTGTTACCAGGATTGTGATCTGTGACGCATCTGAAATGATGGAGCTGTAATTCTGGTACCAGAAGGCACTGATACACAAACTGTTAGAACTGTACTGTTCTCCTTTGTTTTATTACCAGAACTTCTAAATTGAATTATAGCCTCACAGCTTGTTGTTCCCTACTGTTTGTTCTTTATGCAAACCGTTTATGTGTCATCGTGATCTAGAGCTATTTTTGGCACAGCATTAATCTCTTTGTAATGTGGCCTTGCCCTGTTAATATTTCCTCTCCGACAGTTTATGAGCTTGTTGGCTTAGTGCTCTGAAGCACTGACTCCAGCTCTCTAAACACACTCTCTGCTTGTCCAAGTGTGAGGGTTATGTGTGCATTTCTGGTGACCTGCTGGTCTTCAGTAATTTTTGTTTATGGTAGAGAGGGTGAAAAACTCCAGGCGGTGTAATCAGTCTGACAGCCACTTCCACAGTGTCTGTGGTATCACAAAGGAAAGTGCTGTCAAAACAGCAATGCTATGAGGGATATTAATGACAAAGTTCAGATGAATGGGGCTTTGAATATGTGTAGTCTGATGACTAAGAAGAGGCTGTGGTGCATTTGCATTTGTCATGCCTTTGCACGGACAGTGGTGGAGGTGGGGGTGCTCCTTTGGAAATGTATCAATAGTAAAGCAGTATTAATGTTTTAGTGAGGTAGGTAATCTTTCTCAGACTTTGCAACACGACATGCCAAAAGAGACTGTTTCTCAGCTTGCTGATGCTTTTTCTCTTGCATTCAATTTTCTGCTCTGCACTTTGTCATTCCTATTTCAAGCTTCTAATTATTCATGGTGCACTTGGAGAAAGTCTGCCTCAATTAATGAGGGTTGTTCCGATTTATATAACAGAAGATTTTCTGCTGGAATTGACATACTCTATTTTAATACTTGTTAATGAATACTTTTAATCATAGAATCATAGAATCGTTTAGGTTGGAAAAGACCTTTAAGATCATCCAGTCCAACCATTAACCTAACACTACCAAGTCCACACTAAACCAGTCAAGGGTAGACTAGATTATATGAATGTGTAATCATGGAACACTTTGATATCACACTGTCAGATAGCAAAAGAAATACCAAGATAGGTATAGTCATTAAGTTTCTGTAGCTGTAATGGTTCTGGAATGTAAGCAAGGCCAGGTTTGAAGGGAGAGATACTGTCTTGTCTTAAACTGATCAGTTGTGGCTGGAAAAAGTCCAGGAGGAAAAGGTCCTCTACAGACCCTGGGAAGATCCACGTCTTACAAACTACACAAATGCCCTCAAGGCAGATATATAAATGCTGTTGGTTGACTTAGATTGTGGATAGAACACTGCAGACCAGAAAGGGAAATAAATGCTCCCAGTCCTCAAGAGAGCTTGCAGTTCAGCACTCCTTTGAAACTCACAGCTGTGCTCTGTGGCTGAAATGCACTTAATGGTATTTGTGGATTGAAACACCTGAAATACAGATGGATTAAAACTGGAGTCTGCCATTTTTAAGTTGTCCTCTGTATTTTAAAACAAAAGGTGAAAAAAATAATATTAGACTGTAAGGTCTAAACAGGTCTCAGGTTATATGAAACACTCTTTTAGTTACATTATTATAAAACTATTGACATATTTTTATACCAATATTTACATTGAAAGAAGATAGTTTCTAGCTTTTGTCTAACTGTTGCTAAATAGAATCAAAACCATCCCATTCTTAAAGAGCTTTGCAGGCAGTATGTGTGTGTATGTATGTTTGTTTATGCTGCCAAAATCTGTATGATAATTTATGTATAAATAGATTAAGTCCTCAGCGGTGTTCCAGTACAGTTCAGGGGGGGGAAAAGGTAACAAAACAAATTTTCCAAAATATTACTTTGCAATTGCACCATCTTGTGGCAGTCTGCGGTATTGCCTTAGCATTCCGCCAGCAGAAGCAAATAAATTTAAAAAAAAAAAAAAAATTAAAAATTGTGAATGTGTCCCTGTCTACTAATTGGGACCTAGGTTTCTAACCCCACCTCTGAAAGCACCTTTCTGTAGACTCGTATACAGCATGTACTTCAGGAGGTTACAAGACTTCTTACTATTTCCTTGCTCCTCGGCATCGTGCCTTCCCATTTCTCTCTCAGTTCTTCCTTGGTAGAGCCACAGTTTTTAGCACTCAGCTAACCCTTTGCAGTGATAGTCTATCAATTCACATTGAAAGGAGAAAGTTTATAAATTGCATCAGTTTCCAGAGCTTTTGTCCCCTTCTTCAGCCTTTTTATCCTCAATCTGCTATGCCCTCAAGGAGCAAGTATTCCACTTCACACCAAAGGACTGGTGTAAAAGTAGTCTTATGTACAACACAAAGCATGATCCTGACAGTACAAAGAAGGGAAGATGATATTACTTAATCCCCTCAGTAGGAGACCTGTGTGCTAACTTTTAATTGTTCTTCAGTAATTTCTCTCAACCAGTTTGAATCTTGTATTTTGGAAAGGCCTCTCCTAGTTTTATGCAAATAGTCTCTGGAAAGATGTGGTCCAGTTCTTCAGCAAGGCCTGGGGAGTTTCCTTGTTTAAATAATAAAAATAGTAATAATAAAATCTTCAGAAAGACCATCAATGTCAAGCAGTCAGAGTTAAATTCTTTGCAGACTGATGGCCTGTGTTCCCTTTCATGCTGCAATGTATGGCACTGTCCTAAGGCTGCGAGTTCACATCTGCTCTCTGTGGCTGCTCCTCTCCTTCAGAGTCTGACTAGCAAAAGTCTTTCCCTCTGTATTTGCTTTTTGCTTTCCTGATGGACCGACAGCTTAGGAAAGTGAAGATCTCTCTGTAAAATTTGCCTCTTGGATAAGGCTGAATAGTGGCAACTGCCTGGGCATGTATGCCATGGTTGTGCTCTAAAAACTAGCACCAATGGCAACAAGACATGAAGGCAACTACCTGAGAGATTATTGGGGTCTGGGTTTTAAGCCCTCAGGTTGTGCAGTCTGTAAAGATTTTTGTTAGCCAGGATGTCAAGAAGAGCTTCAGTTCACTTAGTTTGCATCTGGATTGGGGATAAGTAGAAGGCAAAGGTTAGAGGCCAAACCTGAGCTAGCATTTGAAATCTCATAAAATATTACAACTGTATCTAGTTTCATGTATAGTACTGTGCCTTACATGTGTTATATATGCATCCAAGGAGCAAGGTGGGGTAAACACAGGATTCCCATTTTGGATCCAAGTCAGTCTACAAGTAGAGGGTTGCAACAAGGGATTAGAATTTAAACCTTCCTTAAAAATGCAGATTTGCATTAGTCCTTTGTTTATATTGTTTCTCTAGAAAATGCTTTTTGGAATTTTCGCTGGGAATTATTCATGATTGAAATAGAAAAGTTTTCTGGGAATTTGTTTTGAGGAGGGTCATGGTGGTTAACATTTAAATATATACAGTGCTTTATCATTTCTCTTCTTGCGTTTTGACTTAGATTGCTCATACCATACCACATTAATTTAAGGTTGTTCCCATCATTCTTGTTAAGATTTAACTTAGTAAAAGCCATTATTGTTTTAACAGATCATTCCAAAGTAATGATTAACATACCTCTAGCAAAGCTGAAGCACGTCAAATACCAGTGGTTCCCTTTTGATATACTCTTGAGTTTAAAAAATATTCCAAGTGTGAAGTCTTCAAAGAAAAAGAAAATACACAATAATGCACATTGTAGAGATGTCTCTTCATTTTCTGTTTCGTATGAATGAAATTAGCATAATTCAGTATGTTTGTTTGATTTTTCAGAAGTCAGAGGGAAAGATATCAGCTTGCAGTACAACTCTTTATCTGAACCAGGAAAAGCATGTAGAACATTCCAGTAAGGATTTGAATAAATGCCTGAGTAGCTAAACCAAGAGATTAAGTCGGAAGTAACGCAAGAGAGATTTTTTCATGCTAACTTGTAGTTTTTATCTATTTCTATTTATTTCTTTTCAGACGTACACCTAAGTTACCACAATGTAACTTTGTGCACCACAGAAACATTTAAGCAAGTTTTATTGCATACTCTGAACTTGTGATTTTGCTCTTTCTCCCCATCTTTACTTTTAGTACACCTGAAAAACAGCCTAGGCTCCTACTAGCTGTATCCAAAGACACCTTAAGTTTCTGCAAATGTAATTATGAGAAGGTGTATGTCATACCAGGTCTTTGACTGTCAGCCCTGTAATGTTACCTGTTGTGCTAGCACTCAGACATTTTTTAAGTTTGGTGACTTGCAATGCCTTAGCTTACTTGGTACAGGATAGAGCTGAAACTCGTTTCTCATGGATTTACGGTTCTGTGTGTAAAGTATATCCAGGTTTTTGGTGTAACAGTACAGCTAAAAGGCACAGTAGTAATTTTGTGGGAGCCCACAGGAAAAAGATGCATGCCAGGGAAAGAACTGTAATTCAGATGGGGAAGTTTCAACTAAACACCTGTGGTATATATGATCTCCTTTAAAACTTGCTTACTTAATACTGATACCAGAGGTGATGGTGATACAGTGGAATAGAGACATGCTGGGCATGTTTTGGGAGCTGGGGCCACCTCTGGTAGGAGAATAATTCCCACTATGTAAATATAATGCCTGGTTTCTGGCTCAGGTGAAAATGAAAAGCATCGGTTAAGATGGATTTTGCATGCCTGATGTGAGATGCCTGTCAGTGAGAGACAGGGTCTTCTCAATACCTCCGCCTGCAAATAGGGCCTTATGTGTAATTATTTATAGTAATAAATCAGCAGAGTTGACAGCCTCTTGTTTGCAGGTATATGTCTTTATAGGACACTCCCCCGCCCCCCAAAAAAGCCAAAACCACCCACCAGATTACAGATACGATCTATGAATGTAGGTAGTGCTGATGAGTAAAATCTGGGGTGACAATGGAAAAGTTAAGTGGCAGTTTTTAGCCTGTCAATCTCACAGTATTATCTTGATTCACAGTAATGACTTCTTGTGTTCCAACCCACCAGCAATACAGATGTGCACACAGTGGCATCACTGCTTAAGCTGTACCTAAGGGAACTCCCAGAACCAGTCATACCATATGCAAAATATGAAGATTTTCTTTCCTGTGCCAAAATGCTCAGCAAGGAGGAAGAAACGGTGAGTTGGCAACTTGAGTAAAATGAAATAAAAGGCTGGCATGTTATAACCTGTTCCAGTTTTGAGGAGGAGAGAAGGTGGTGATTACCTATCCTAATTTAAGATGTGCATCTATTAATTGAGGCTGGTTTTATATGAAAATTGTTTGCACCTAGGTCATTTGGAAGTCTAAAAAGGCACATAGCATAATCTTAGCTGTATTTATTGCATGTCACTGAATCCAGTTCAGGTAAACATCATTGTGGTCAATAGCTTCCATTTTGCATGGAAGAAACTTGTATTTTTGTGGATTATCATTCTGAACTGTAAAAGGAAGCGTCTTAGTAGTTGCTGTCCAGCTCTTGCCAGTAAATCAGGGGTCATTTTCTTCCAAGCATCAGGATGCCAACTTTTCCTGACTTTAGATTGAAGGCCAATGATAGGCCATTCATTGCCTATCATTGAATCAGAAGGCCTCAAAAAGGTGGAAGCGGGCCATCTTCCAGACTCTTAAAACAGCATAACACAGATGAGCAAAATAAGGGTTCTGACTGATCATATGTGCCCTGCAGTGGCATGGGCCTACTATGTATTAGTCTGAAGACATACGAAACTAAGTGCGTTTTTTTACATTGTTCTGTGTGCTTATGGGTAATGAGGTCAACCCTGATATTTTCTTTTCCAAGTAAATACAAATCGGCTCATTCTGTTGATTTTAATCTACTCCCCTAACTTTCTAAGGTGGTTATTTCTGTTTAATTCCTTTTTGACATTTCAAATCCTGCTAAAACTGGAACCGTCCTACCTAATCCTCTAATTAATTAAGATGAGGAGGAACCCCTCTTTTCTAAACTGAGAGGCCATCTCCTTTCTGAGCCTTCACCTGATGAGTACTGACAGCAGAGGTGGTAGTTGTTCCCATCTGATGGAATGGGGGGGAGGGAGGGGAGACGATCTGTGGCAGACTTGTCTTCTATGGTCATAATCTCTTACACCCACTGGTTTCTTTGCTGTCCTTTCCAGCTTGCTACAAGGTGCAGATTTTTGTCAGCTGCTTGTGAAAGGTGGGAGTGGGTTGTTCAGCTGGTTTCACTGGAGCTGGTCTTTGCACAAGTTATGGCACGGGATCCTCAGAGCTAAAGTTGCAGCTATTTGCTTGTGTGTGTTGCATATGTCTCTAACCATAGATAGCTCCAACGTAAAGCCACCTGACAGCTCCGCAGTTAGTCATCATGCAGTTTATACTTGCAGTGATACTCACTTTCAGATTAAGGTTTTAGTCATTTTATGTTGTCTTAATCCAGAGTGTATTTGTGTAGTTCCTAACTATGCCACAAAGCACTTTATTAAATTCATTTTGAAAGCAAGATTCAAATTACAGTGGCCTGTTGGTGCTGGCAGTTTGTGAAAAATCAGTACTATAGGTAATGAGCCGCTTCAGTCCTCTTTATGGTGGCTTAGCAGTCCAGCTATAAGGCTGACTAGATTTTTCAGTTGCTCTTTCTCCATGCAGAAGTAAAA